GGGCACACTGGGCGGTCCATTACTCATTACCGATGCTGGCAAACCAATGTCGAGATACTGGTTTTCATCACAGCTCCGTCTCCTCTGCCAATGCTGTGGGCTATCTCCTGAGCTGTAGACAGCCCATTCATTTTGCATCGGCGCTGCTTCAACGGCCTCTATCTGTACCTGCATCCATACTGAAAATCATGGGCCGTTGGTCCTCTGCTTTATTAGATTAAACGCCAACGAGATTTTGGATGCCCAAAAGTTGTTTATCTGCCTTCTCCATGCCTTATTAGTTCGCTATGTTCAGTCTGCGGTCAATAGTATTGTTTGGTGGTCATTGTAATACGTTTGTGCATATTACCTACAGATGGTTGGCTGGGTGCAAATTGCTTAGTTTGTTTATAGGATATATTTAATGTAGGCCACAGATGATTAGGCTACTCATATAGTTCAGTGAGAGCACCCAGCTGTGCTTCTTTAGGGGGCTAGGTACACACTGCTATGTGGCAGATAGGTCACATGCGCCAAAATGAAGCTCATCTTGCCTTAAGCGAGGTCACAAGGAATAGATAGGAGTTATACAGTGACTTCTGAAAGTATTCAGACCCTTTGACTTTTTCCACATATTGTTACATTACAGCCTTATTCTAAAATGGATTAAATAAAGAAAAATACTCAGCAATCTACACACACTACCCCATAATGACAACGTGACAAGTTTTTTGTTTGTTGAAATGTTAGAAAATGTATTAAAAATAAAAAACAAATACCTTATTTACATAAGTATTCAGACCCTTTGCTATGAGACTCGAAATTGAGCTCAGGTGCATCCTGTTTCCACTCATCATCCTTGAGATATTTCTACAACTTGATTGGAGTCCATCTGTGGTAAATTCAATTGATTGGACATGATTTGAAAAGCACACACCTGTCTATATAAGGTCCCACAGTTGACAGTGCATGTCAGAGCAAAAACCAAGCCATGAGGTCGAAGGAATTGTCCGTAGAGCTCAGAGGCAGGATTATGTCGAGGCACAGATCTGGGGAACGGTACCAAAACATTTCTACAGCATTGAAGGTCCCCAAGAACACAACGGCCTCCATCATTCTTAAATGGAAGAAGTTTGGAACCACCAAGACTCTTCCTAGAGCTGACTGCCCGGCCAAACTGAGCAATCGGGGGAGAATGGCCTTGGTCAGGGAGGTAACCAAGAACCTGACGGTCACTCTGACAGAGCTCCAGAGTTCATCTGTGGAGATGGGAGAACCTTCCAGAATGACAACCATCTCTGCAGCACTCCACCAATCAGGCTTTTATGGTAGATTGGCCATACGGAAACCACTCCTCAGCAAAAGGCTTGGAGTTTGCCAAAAGGCACCTTAAGACTCTCAGACCATGAGAAACAAGATTTAACTCTTTGGCCTGAATGCCAAGCATCACGTCTGGAGGAAACCAGGCACCATCCCTACGGTGAAGCATGGTGGTGGCAGTAACATGCTGTGGGGATGTTTTTCAGTGGCAGGGACTGGGAGACTAGTCAGGATCGAGGCAAAGATGAATGGAGCAAAGTACAGAGAGATCCTTGATGGAAACCTGCTCCAGAGCGCTCAGGACCTCAGACTGGGGAAAAGGTTCACCTTCCAACAGGACAACGACCCTAAGCACACAGCAAAGACAACGCAGGAGTGACTTCGGGACAAGTCTCTGAATTTCCTTGAGTGGCCCAGCAAGAGCCCAGACTTGAACCCGATCGAACATCTCTGGCGAGACCTGAAAATAGCTGTGCAGCGACGCTCCCCATCCAACCTGACAGAGCTCGAGAGGATCTGTAGAGAAGAATGGGAGAAACTCCCCACATACAGGTGTGCCAAGAATACTCGAGGCAGTAATCGCTGCTAAAGGTGCTTCAACAAAGTATTGAATAAAGGGTCAGAGTACTTATGTAAACGTGATATTTCAGTTGTTTTCTTTTCATACATTTGCACAAATTTCTAAAAACCTGTTTTTGCTTTGTCATTATGGGGTATTGTGTGTAGATTGATGAGGGGGGGAAAACGATTTAATCCATTGTAGAATAAGGCTGTAACGTAACAAAATGTGGAAAAAGAGTAGAATCTCATGTAAAAGCTTAGAAAATACAAACCCACTTTTCAATTCCAAAAGATTTCATTTTATACAAATGAAGTCTTTGCCCTTTACTTGGTTCCTGCAGGATTTCTTAACCTGTTAAACTCTGAGGGATCATTTTGGGCCCTGTACAGTTTGGGGGCTTAAGGGTCAGCTGCAACACGATATACAATCTCTTGATTCTGCTGGGGAAGGTTTTAATTTGTTTAACTCACAAAACAAATATGTTAGTGTTGGATTCTTGAAAAAATAACTGTCAAACACTTTCTTTCTTTTCTTTTTTTACCTTTATTTAACTAGGCAAGTCAGTTAAGAACAAATTCTTATTTACAATGACGGCCTACACCGGCCAAACCCGGGCCAATTGTGCGCCGCGCTATGGGACTCCCAATCACGGCCGTGATACAGCCTGGAATTGAACCAGGGGGTCTGTAGTGACGCCTCAAGTACTGAGATGCAGTGCCTTAGACCGCTGTGCCACTCAGGAGCCACTACTAGAGACTATAAGGATTGAATATTAAAGAAAGTGGGAGGTCTCAAGATTTTACTGATAAGTGGGACTAAATAACACGTTAAGAGGGATGGGCCTGGTTTTGTATACAAAGGTGCTCCTGATCGCCATTGATGACAATTCTAGTTTTTGGTTGTATGTGTGTAAAAAAAATAAAAAGTAATTCCTGTTCCTGTCCTTTTGCAGTTTGTTAGTTACGTTTTTTTTTTATAGCTGTAACAGATCAGGCAGACTAGCCTAAATACATTTCCCAGAGCTTGAAACTCCCACCTAATGGTGAAACGATTGTTTTTACACCCTTCAATTGAACTGAATTGATAGATTGTAAATCCAGGATGAGTATACAACGTTAGACACAAGATGACAAAAATAACCACACTACTCATTTCGCAATAGAATCTTCATGTTTAATACAATAAAAGTGTTTACATAGGCATTCCTTTGATGTGAAGTAATTTAAACATTGTATTGCCCCAGATTCAAAGGGAGCTGTAGAGTATGGCAATATTTAGTAAATTCACAATATTTTGGGGGGAGGGGGTGGGGCCCTATACTATATATTCATTTTTTCAAAATCTTTTAAAATATATTCCTGAGGACAATAGCATTTAACACCGGAAAGCATTAAAAAAATTTACTTCTAAAAAATAATATTTTTCCCTTCAATTCCATTCCAAAACAAGTGGAGCAAACACTCCTTTCAATACAGATTGGGCACTACATCACTGATAAGAGATTCATGTGTCGAGAGGATTCAAGAGTGCCATCTGTGTGATTTGACAGGTATGTGTAAAATGGGTAACGTCTACTTGGTCGCCAGCGTACTGTTCACTACTGTGGTTCATAGAAATATTGTGTAATCATGTAAAAAAAAATATATATATGAATATGACTGATGCAATAAAGCTAAGATGGGGGAAAAAGAAAATAGCAAAGCTAGCACCGAATGTTTTCCCAAAATTACTAGCAATCCATGGTAGCAATCCTGTAAATTGCGCTGGAACGTTGCAGCAACATTGGAAGAATCCAGTGTGCGAATCGGGACAGGTGAATTGTGAATGATAATACTTGTCACCACCAGTAATAGCTGCCTCTGCAGATGACAGAGTATTTCTGACTTTGGGACAAACATGCAATGACAACCTTAAATATGTATGTGTGCTTTTGAAGGCCACCAGAGCACTGTCAATTTAAGTTATTAATGATCAAATGTATGCGACTATTGGGCACTCAAACCATTTATCAAATGCCATGAGAATAACATTTAACAAACGTTCTTTTTTTTGTGTTTCAGTTGTATCAACTTTCATACATTTCATGTTTTTGTAAATTTCTAAGTCATATGTAAAATGTTAATGAATTAGATTTTTAAATTGAAGGACAACGCAAGGTGCCTTTAACTGTGGTAATGCTATAATTGTGACGATTTACCACACTGATATACAGTGAAACAATGTGGTCATTTGTGCTTTGAGACCAGATTCAATTCACTTATCACATGGACTTCCTCCATTTTGACAAACAAATTCAGGCATACATCATTTTACAAGCAACAAAATGAGTGAATTTGTAGGTCAACATAAAGGGGTCTTTCAAAAGACAAGTTCAATTATCCTTGGCCATTGATAAGAAGACATTGATAACAAGCCATATATATAATATGTATTCTGAGTATACTAAACATTAGGAACACCTTCCTAATATTGAGTTGAGCCCTCAGAACAGTCTCAATTTATTGGGGCATGGACTCTACAAGGTGTCGAATGCGTTCCACAGGGATGCTGGCCCATGTTGACTCCAATGCTTCCCACAGTTGTGTAAAGTTGGCTGGATGTCCTTTGCGTGGTGGACCATTCTTGAAGCACACAGGAAACTGTTGAGTGTAAAAAACCCAGCAGCGTTGCAGTTCTTCACACAAACCGGTGCGCCTGGCACCTACTACCATACCCCGTTCAAAGGCACTTAAATATTTTGTCTTGACCATTCAACCTCTCAATGGCACACATGCACAATCCATGTCTCAATTGTCTCAAGGCTTAAAAATCCTTCTTTAGCCTGTCCCCTCCCCTTCATATACAGTGATTGAAGTGGATTTAACTAGTCAATAAGGGATCATAGCTTTCACCTGGTCGGTCTATGTCATGGAAAGAGCAGGTGTTCTTAATGTTTTGTATACTCAGTGTAAATACATTGACTCCAGTGGTTAAAGTTAGAATGACAAGCAATAAAAGTTATGCTTTTTGCTTTACTGCCAGCTTCATAATCTTCAACCTATTGAATAAATGTTTGTACATATAAACTGGCAAAATATCAAGTCCTCCTTGCTTGTGGTATGATGGAACATTTCCTGTGCCCTTGACCAAAATCCACGTAAAGGTTTTTTTTTTTTTCATGCAACAGATTAGCACTCTTTCCTGACAATTGTGCCAGTGAAACTCAAGAAATCCACAAAGAATAAATCTCACTCACAAAGAAACCTGAGGATGACAGTAACATGTAATCTTTAACAGTCACTGCTGGGAGTGCATTTTTGGTATCAATAGTCGAATTATTCATACTTGACTTTGTGCCGCTGTTACATGGGATCATATGACAAGTGATTGCTCTTTGAGTGAGACCTAATCCCTTTTGAGGATTAATGATATTATAAAAACATTAAGACAAATAGCCAAAAATTAAATGATACATTTTCCAGCCGCTATCCTTCTGATTCAGTTGAAATTCAGCATATTGCCGTGATCTTTCATAAGGTAAGGTGCTTTGCACTGACCAGTGTAGCCTACATCCTGAGACAACTAATATGCTACTGCAATAAGCAAGTCCCCTCTAATAGTCTGACGTCCTTACACGTCACAGCATTTTGACTTAATGAGACATGGCTCTCCCAACCAACCAGGATCCTTACAGCATAAGGGAATGTTTTATCTGGTTTCCGTGTGGTTGTATAACATCATAAGCGAATAATCCCCAAACACTTGTAGAACATTTTAGAAGAACGTTCAAGTACGATGTTTCATAAACGTTCTCACAGTGGCCGTGTCCAATTACCCATACTTGCGTTCTAAATATAAGGCATTTTGGGTATGCGAAAGTTTTATATTATGTGAAATTCAGCTAATTGAGTATGCTTTAAATGCTAGGATGTCATACTTATTTAGGCTTTTCATCTAGTAGAATTTGCTGCACACTATTTAGGAAGAGAATTGTCTTTCGAGACCCACGTGTGTTTGACAACAGCTGAGGAGACGCGCTGTACCAAAGTGAACGAATGGCAGGAATCAACGCAATTGCGCATTAGATTACGCATTCTCAGTAGGATGAGCCTAGTATGCTGATATGTGTTGCTTACTGCATTTGTTTTTACTGAACAGTACATTCTAAATAGTATGTAGTACGATGTCTCTGGAAATCTACCTCTTCATTTCAAGAAATGCCCCCTTCCCCCCAAACCTAAAGGAAATGCCCTGAGGCACAAATAATGTTCGCTAGGATATTGGCCAACCAATCAAATGCTTGTACGCATGTCCACATTTGGCTGGAAAATGAACAAGACAATTTTCAGATAACAGATTTCAGATATAACTCATTCCTAACCCTTTAACAACCCTACAAAAATGGTGGCAAATTTCCCGGGTCAGTAAAATAACATGGATATTTCACACTGCCTGTTGACAAAAACCAGATCAAATGTGACATCATTATTCCTAGGAATAACCTGAAGAAGAGGCAAGTATCACCACCAACACATGAACGCAGCGTGCCACTGTAGAAATTCATTTGGAGAGCTTGTTTTGTGCCCAGCTACACTACACGTGCAAAACGGCGTTCTCACCCAAACCGCGCAGCGTCCTGCTGGGCCTGGATCAACCCTGAATTTTTCGACCGCTCGGTTAGTGCGTGGTTTAGTTAGTCTCGTCAGTCTCGTCAGTCTGTCAGTGGTCAATGGCGGTCAGTTAAAATACAGCTCCTTGGTCAGCATGGAGACCACGCAGGGGATCTGCTTCTTCTCGCTGAAACGTGGGTCCTCGGACCAGGACTCGAAGCTGGTGGCCACCATGTAGTTGACACGTGTGAGGATCTGCATGATCTCCAGCTGCTTGCCAAACTCATTGAGGACGTTGCAGAGTGCCTGGACAAACCAGGAGCCACGCCCAGGGTTCCTCCACGAATAGTACCCTGTAAGAGCAGCCGTGTCACTCTCTCCAATTGCCACTGACACACACACACACTTTACAAGCACACAGACAGATTCTCTCACACAGTAACAAACACACTATGAAAACAACTGGATAGTGGATGGGCATTACCAGCTACCATGGTTGATTGGAACAACCTGGGAGGGTGTGAGGCAGACCTGGTGGCTGTGGGATTTCTGTCATACTATCGGTGCAAGGAACATTTAGGAGCGGGCGGACTAGTTTAGCTGGAAATGTACGGGAATGCTGTGGGTTACCTGGCACGGTGGAGTAGGCAAAAAGGAAATCTGCCTCAACAGGAATCTTGTGCCTTGGATTTGCATCCGTTTCCAGGGTATCATTGGGGGGCCCGGAATCCGTCTGTATGCCATCATCAAACTCAGAGCCCCGACAAGCCTGGTGAATCAAATGAAAGTTGATCAGGAATATCTTTTTCAAGGACAACCTGGTGAATAGGGCAGTATGTCTTATTAAGTTCTACAAATATGGCTGTATAGCTAGTTATCTGTCCATCAAGAAAAACAACAGTCACCTTGCATATAAATGGGATACCCGTAACCATAATCTATATACATTTCTAAAAAGAAGAGGGCCCGGAATCCAGCCTTGTGGAACACCATTAATTATTTACAAGTCCTTTTACTTCAAAAGCACTAGCATAAATACACAGCTCACTTACAGATATTGTTTAAACTATCTAGTTTGCACTAGGACCTAATACTCTTCACCTCAAATCAAAAAATGTTAAAATCTCAAAACATATGAAAAAGAGTTAGACAAACTTTCACGTTCTGGTTCCAACCAGGTGCCAACTGACAATATTTAACCATGATTAATCATCTACCTCTTCTATAAGGTTAGGAAGCTAAGCTCAACAATAATTGCTTCAATCAAGCCTAGCTAGAACAAAAGCCTGGGTTTTGTGAAGCTGTCCAGCCCAGTGTAGGCTCTGGCCCTCACCTGGATGAAGAAGAGTTTGGGCTTGCCCACTAGACTCTTGCACATGTCACCCCTGAAGAGTGAGGTCATGCTCTTGATGGGCATGGCTCCGTCAGTGCCATAGATCATACCCTCCTCACCGTGACTCAGCAGGATGCAGGCAAAGCAGGAGCTGTCGCTGTGGTCCTCCTCTGAGGCTAAGACACACACACACACACACTTTTAAAATTGCAATTGACATAGGCTTAAATAAACGTTTTAATGCATTGCCATTCCCAGTTTCCTATTTATTGTAACCCATATTTATGTGGGATGTCAATAAAAAGTAAGTAAAAGGTTGCAAAAAAGGCAAAATAGCTACTACGATATACAGCCGAGGGTAAACAAGGGGATCTAAGCAATAGCACTATGGCTGTCCCCAACTAAAAAAAATTTTGGTCGACCAAGACTTGACTGTTCTTTCGACCAATCGACTGGTCTAAATTTTTAAACGTGTATTTTTCCATATATAGACACATCCTATGTGTTTTAATCAAATCAACTATATGCACTGAGCTTGTCTGATGCTTTAAGCGAACTGTTTGATGAAATAATTAAGACACACAAATGACTAGAGGGAGTCCGACCGCAATTGATTTGATTGTGCCGGGCCTGGCTCAGACTTGCAGCGCTGTGTTAAAAAAAAAAGACAGCGAGTGACTGTGTGACTAGCACCTGTTGTCTCTCCTCCCTGCTGTAGCGACCACCACAGAACATCAGTGTGTATCGCGCTGTCCATGTTGCTGATGTTCCGACATAATTACAGCCATTTCTGACTGAAAAGTGATGTTACCGAAATCCCTAATTTGTTTAGGAAAAACATTCCCTATTCCCTCAACCCTTGCTCTCTTTACATGACACATGTATGCATCGCATTTCCCCCTTCTGATAACCAGGTGGCGAATCGCATCTCTGCATGTCTGGCAGACATATCAGTATGGATGACGGATCACCACCTCAAGCTGAACCCTGGCAAGACGGAGCTGCTCTTCCTCCCGGGGAAGGACTGCCCGTTCCATGATCTCGCCATCACGGTTGACAACTCCGCTGTGTCCTCCTCCCAGAGTGCGAAGAGCCTAGGCGTGACCCTGGACAACACCCTGTCGTTCTCCGCCAACATCAAGGCGGTGACCCGCTCCTGCAGGTTCATGCTCTACAACATTCGGAGAGTACGACCCTGCCTTACACAGGAAGCGGCACAGGTCCTAATCCAGGCACTTGTCATCTCCCGTCTGGACTACTGCAACTCGCTGTTGGCTGGCCTCCCTGCCTGTGCCATTAAACCCCTACAACTCATCCAGAATGCCGCAGCCCGTCTGGTGTTCAACCTTCCCAAGTTCTCTCACGTCACCCCCCTCCTCCGCACACTCCACTGGCTTCCAGTTGAAGCTCGCATCCGCTACAAGACCATGGTGCTTGCCTATGGAGCAGTGAGGGGAACGGCACCTCTGTACCTTCGGGCTCTGATCAGTCCCTACACCCAAACGAGGGCATTGCGTTCATCCACCTCTGGCCTGCTGGCTCCCCTTCCTCTGCGGAAGCATAGTTCCCGCTCAGCCCAGTCAAAACTGTTCGCTGCTCTGGCACCCCAATGGTGGAACAAGCTCCCTCACGACGCCAGGACAGCGGAGTCACTCACCACCTTCCGGAGACATTTGAAACCCCACCTCTTTAAGGAATACCTGGAATAGGATAAAGTAATCCTTCTACCCCCCCCCCCCCAAAATTGTAAAGTGGTTATCCCACTGGCTATAGGGTGAACGCACCAATTTGTGAGTCGCTCTGGCTAAGAGCGTCTGCTAAATGACGTTAATGTGCCCTTGAGCAAGGCACTTAACCCTAATTGCTCCTGTAAGTCGCTCTGGATAAGAGCGTCTGCTAAATGACTAAAATGTAAATGTAAAAAATGCATGCACGTGACCAATAGGGCCTGACCTATAGCATATCCTAATCACATCAATAAATTGGTAACACATGTGACAGCAAAATGGATGCAGAGGATGTGACAAATAAACTCGAAACGGGGGAATGTTTACTGGTTGCTCAGGAGGTAAAAGGGGAAGTCTGATGTGTAGAATAAATGTGACTAGTTGTGGAAAATACTGGAAATCAAGAAAAAGAAGGTAAGGAGCAAGCGCTGTGTGCATATTATGTGTGCCAAACAGGTGCTGTTAGATTACAATATAATTGTTCTACCGTTTGGAACATTTAAACACTAAATAAATTTTAAGCGTACCAGAGAGTCTGTTGTAAAGTTTTTACAGCAAAGACTAAAAACAGTCGCATTCATTTGTGAATGCAATTTCCGAAATGGAATGGTTTAGGCCTATTTATTGTTTACGCTAATTATTCAATAGTCGCTTTATTTTATTTTAAAACTAAAATGCTTGATTGCATTTCAAATCATGAATTAATCGTATGCTGTGTGATGACATGAACAAATAAATGATTGATTGAAACAGTAGCCTATATAAGTATTGAAATATAGGCCTAAGTAAGTTACAGTATTAAGACTAAACAGGATGTACTCTTAGGCCTACAGCTCGATGGTGGTTATCCAAGGCTGCTATACTAAGCCTACTAATGATAATGACATTACATATTATTATAATGATGATCATAATAATCGTAATAATAACAATATGAAGGAGATCAAGAAAAAGGAGGGTAAAATGTTTACGGACAATTTCAAAATGTAAACAACAGTAAATAAATTAAAGAAGTAATACGAGAGGCTGTTTGAACGAAAAAAAAAGTGTAAAGTCTTTATTACAGCATAGCAAAGATTAAAAACAGCCGGATTTGGGAAATTGTTTATCCGACATGTGGATGCATGAGGCTTGGTGCTCACAGACTCAGTAGGCTATTAAACAAACACTCAAACAGGCAACAGAAGCAGGATCTGTCTTATTTCTGTAGATATATTGATGATTTATAAAGCCAGGCACATTTAACAGTTAGGCTATTGATTATAGACCTAATCAAGTTGCGGTTTCCTCTCTCCTCACTTTTGTTAGACAATTAAGGCAAGGGCTGTTTTCTCGTCTCCTAACTCCACTGCTGCCTCCGCCGCATTGTTCTCAACTGGTTAACTTTGCTATTATGCACATAGCAACATGGTCTAGGAAAAGGCGGCCAATTCAACAGCGCACTGATGTGTTTCAGAACCGACCACTATCCAACGCGGGAGAAAGCGCATTTGTTATACAATAATATTATTTACATTTGTTTTGCACCATTGTTCTTACATAATATAACCATATACAATTTCAGTAGCACATGTTTTAGACTGATAGACTGTGCCATCCCCACGGCCTCCATAACAGATCAGTCCACTCAGACAGGCGCGAATCAGACAGGTGTCTTCTACACCATTTATTATATTATATATTTTTTTGCTACTGCTCGACTTAAGAAATCTCGGTCGACCAACAGCCTATCGACCAAACAATCGACCAGTCGACTAAATTGGGTCAGTCCTAAACAGCACTAAAAGAGAAAGTGATAGACAGTGTTGGTGCCCCCTGTTTGAAAATGTATGCACTGGAACAGCAGTGGGGGGGCGATTAGTGAGACAGGTTACTCTCACTGAAGTAGCCCCTAGAATAGTTACTGATGTAAGGCCTACGGACAATATCTACTCAGTGTGTTACTCACCCTCTCGGAGAAGACGCTCCATCTTCTCACACGTCTGGTCATTGTAGATGCAGACGTCAAAGCCCAGGCTCTTAAAGCACTTAAACAATTCACCTGCGTCTCGATCCGTGCCATTGCGTACATTCATCCCTAACAGACAATATGAACAGCATTCACTGTACTCCACATGTACAGTATATCGCTTACACAGTGTTATACAATAGGCCACTAAAAACAAGTTATATCAAATGGCAGGGCTCCAGACTAACGTGTGCCACTAACTTTTTCAGTTGGTGGCACGAGCCCATAATTTGGTTGCACCCAAAAATAAACAAAATCGCAGCGTCACGCAATAGAAACAATAGGAGTAATCGCCTTTTAAAGTCATTATAAAGTATTTCAAGTTGTGTAATAGACTACTGAGATGGTATTCAATAAATAAGTTCTTACATCTAACATGTTCAAGCAGGAATGCATGATTCAAGATATTTTGATATGCAACCTAATCCAGTGACTGTCATGAATTTCATGTTGACAATTCTGTATAATTTAAAAAACATATTTTACTGTCAAAATAGGGTTTCAGAATGTTTTGTTCAACAGAGATGTATTTGCCTTCATCTTTATGTGCACTAATATTACATATGCCTAATATAATTGGTACTAATTCACCACCTAAAGAAGTGGAAACTCAAAACACAGCTTGATCGCTAACCTCTAAAAATAACAACTACTGTTAGTAGCCATGTAAGAGTAAATGTAATGTCGTAAAAAAAACTTTGCATCAGCAGTAGGCCTACTACCCAATGAGGATTAGTGCAGTCACGATGGCTAATGCACATTACGCGTGCTCTGTCTTTCAAAGCCATATCAGATATCTCGATTGTAAAACAGTGTGCTTTGAGCTCAATATTAAGAGTTATGAAATACAAATTCTACAAACAGAAAGCTGAGACCCTCCTCTCTTTAACAGGTAGTTGCTTCCAAAGTTGTGTTTTTTCCCGCAATTGCATTTCGAAATGTTACACAATCAGATTGCATTTTTCGGGGTGCACAAGGGGGGAGAGAGAGAGAGAATGTGCGAGGCTTGCTCATTACAGCAGCCGGCCACAGCGAAACAGGCACAGTGGCAGGGCAGACACTTTCATTACAGAATCATGACAATAATGCACCTTACTGTTTGACCAAATCATAGTTTTATCCGCACAAAAAATAGGATGTTTTGATTGAGGTGACCAGGTAGAATGTGGAGCTCGCACCGGTGCGACCAATTCAAAGTCAAAGGGTCGCAGTCTGGAGAAATGAACAATCTCATAAAGAGTAACTGTGTTACATAAATGTATTAGTGTTGTATAAGTTTAATAAAGCAGTGTGGATAATATAGTAGTGTTAGACAACCATGTATCCAAGTCAATATAAAAAGTGATGCCATACCCGTCTTTTCATCAAAGTTCTTGTTGTTGATTATGATGCACTTGCCCACTCGCTGGTGGCTCATCTTATACTGGAATGTTGGTGAAACGATTCTGTAATGGCTTTCAGAAGAGTAGTCCTGCTCCCGCGTCTTGCCATCCTTATTCTTCTTACTGAGCAAGACATAGGGATAAAAATAATCATAATAATGTATTCAAAGACAACACATACGCTCACATATAGGTAGCCAGTGATACCTGGATAAATGTTTCAGGTAAAGTTACATCAAATGTATTTGAACCCAGTTGATAGTGACTGACTTATGTTTGTATTACTGGCACCAACAGACCAACTTGTTTGGATAGACCTACATCTATAACCTCTGGTAAACTCAACAACAAAATTCCTCTGCAAAGAAAATTGTTTCACTTTCAAAGGGTGAATCTTAAAAGGTAGTTATTTTTAAGCCTTAGATAGGACAATACGCCTTAAAACAGCACCCACATAACACAGGGCATTCTTAAACAAAATGCATGCCACTTTTAAAGTCATTAGACATAACACGCACATGCTACTGGAAAAAAAAAGCTACATTAATTATTGACCCTCACTGTATTCAACATCAAACCAAGGGGGGAGGATTTTTAAATATGAGTGTGAGACCTTGGTATAAAAGCGAGACATCCGTAAAACTCTATCCTTACTCTAGGCTATTTCTGTGGAAGCAGGTAGTCCAGATAATGCCCCGCTTCCTTGAGAAAAGGCTAACTTGACACAACTCCTTTGATTACCTCAACATTAGACAAGCTAACATTTCTTAAAACATTCTGCTGACTTCAACATCAGGTATGCCAAAAAGTCATCCAAACACACAGAATCCATGAGAATTGAAAACACCCTGAACCACTTACTCAGAGACCATTGAGCACGTACTGTTTCAAATGAGGCATTAATGTCATGGCCAAACCTGTTGAAGTAATCCACTGGCAGGTGAATTATAAAGTCATAACATGTTCAGCTAGCTCAGGTATTAAGAAGTCATAAGTGAATCAAAGTATGTCCCCGACAGAGTAAATCTTTCTGAGTGACAATTCTCACAGACCTGTCATATTTCCATTCTTTAAAGGACCAATCCAGATAGGTAGGCCACAGTAGCCCATTGGGCTCACAATATCAGCATGTGTTCTAGAAGAGCCTAGTCATCAGGTTACCCAAGAACTGCAACAATGGGACCCCATACTCAGACACATACGCACGTGCACGCTCACATGCACGCAAACACAGAAATGGCCAAACAGGCCATACTATAGTCCACATGTGATCCAGAACTTTTACATAGCCCCCCACCCCCATCTCTCACCCCCTCCCTCACCACACACCCCACCCTCCCTCCCTCCCTCACCCCCATGGTGCCAGAATGCCTAGCAGTGGTCCGAGAGTGGGCAAAGAGCCCTGCCTCTGTGGCACTGTGGGGGTGGGCAGCAGCATGAGGGGGGAGGGGTCCCTTACCTGGGTTCCTCATTAAGCGCCACGCCACTCTGCATCTGAAATACGTTGCTCCTCCTGTCTCGCTCCTTTTTATTTTTTTTTGCTTTCTCCAAACCTCGAGGTGTCGATTTTATGGGGCGTGCGGAGCAGTTGGTGTGCTCTAGGATCCTGACATGCTCTCTATACTGTATAGATACTGGACTTGGCCTGCGTGTACTGGGGACAGGGGTGGCGCGCTGTAGCTCCCTGAGTCAGCAGCCACAACACCACACCAGAGCTTTCTAAAGGCCTATTCAAACGACCCTGCACACTCTGCGGAGGTCAGGCAGGGCAACACGTAGCCTTTATGGCTGCTGACAAGCCCAGAATCAGCATCACACACACACACACACGTCTCACACGTCACACACATCTCACACGTACATGCGCACACACACTTAGGTTATTAACAACAAGCTATAATGTATGGTTATTAGCAGTTTCTGTATATGTTGTTAAAGTGTATATTAACAGACTTTAGGTTACTGTATGGTTATAACCAGCAGACTATAGGTTATCATGGTTGTGAGAAACAGGCTATAGGTGATATGGTAATAAGTAGCAGGCTAGATGTACGATTCTAAGCAACAGGCTAGCTAAATTCATAAGTGGGGTAGTCTCGGAAATCCCACACCTACGGCAACAGCAGTAGTCTGGGTAACATGGTGGATTTTCTGGGCCACTTCGAATGGGGAGAAAAAAAATGGGTGCTCTTCAGACAGGAAATTCTCCCAACAAATCACGAGTTTGAGCATGCAGGGCTTAAAATGTGAGTAGGAATTGTGTTCTTGAAAAATAACATGACAGAGACGGACACAATGCGGACGCAGATGGCTACCCAGGAAGCCGGGAACATTACCAGGACATCAGCTAACATTCCCATTCATTTCTAGTTAGGGTTTGATCTAACATTAGGATGATAACATCCCACAAACATTCCAAGCATGTTTTTGATAACAAAATGTTTTTACTAAGAAAATGTTTTACATTAAATAGGCTATCCTTGGAACATTAATCTATAACAACCACAGAACATTCCCCTAAGTTTATTATTAGGTTGCCATGGAATGTTATAACACAATGTTCCAGTAATGTCCTTAGAACATAATTGCCACAACAAAAAGTGGGAGATATTGAAGTGGTTCTGAGAAAACATTGGAATGTTTTTCAAAACACCCTTAACAACCAGCAGGGAATATTCCCACAATACTCTCATAAAGTTATAGTGTGATGTTAGGACATGACGTTCAAAAAACATTCCCTAAACATACAGTACCAGTCAAAAGTTTGGACACACCTACTCATTCAAGGGTTTTTCTTTATTTTTACTATTTTCTACATTGTAGAATAATAGCGAAGACATCAAAACTATGAAATAACACATTTTGAATAATGTAGTAACCAAAAAAAGTGTTAAACAAATCAAAATATATTTTAGATTTTAGATTCTTCAAAGTAGCCCTAAATGATCAAATATTAAAGCATTAGACCTCTCACTAAAGGCTTCAGTCATACAAAAGTTATACTTAAATCCAAACTGGTTCTCTAGCAAATATCGCTATTTTTAAAAACAATTTAATCCACCAGAAAGGACAGAACAAATAATGCAACAAATATTGTGGTTAAACTCAAATATACTAATTGATAAAAAAAACATTATTTTTTGAAAAAATGTTTAATTACATTTACATTTTAGTCATTTAGCAGACGCTCTTATCCAGAGCGACTTACAGTGAGTGAGTGCATACATTTTTTCATACTGGCCCCCCGTGGGAAACGAACCCACAACCCTGGCGTTGCAAGCGCCATGCTCTACCAACTGGTAGGATTGGTGGAGTTATGTCGCACATGCAGCTAACAAAAACATATTGAAATGTTTACAATCAACTAATTGCAGCATTACCGCAAAAATGGAAGAGGTAAGTGGAAGGGGGAAAAATAAAGGAACTTGTCTGTCAGCCCTGCATTAAAGACCATAATTGGTTAAAGAAAATTGTGATAGATAAAAAAGTATACCAGTTTCATTAAAGGACCTAAATTTGACAGCCGTGCCATATAGATTGCAAAATAGTCGGGAAGAGATTTTTGACGTACTGATTCCATGGCACAGGGTTTATGAACTAATACGCAAAATGACGTCGGATTCAAAACGTATAATTTTTCAATTTAAATTATTATACAAAATTCTTGCAACCAATAGAATATTATTTATATGGGGCATACAATCTTCCCAGCTCTGCAGATTTCTGGAGGATTTTCTATGGCTTGTTTTAGAAATAGTGATATTTGGGAGATGATTTCCTTTTCAAATAACTGAAAGTGAGAGGTTGTAATCTGAATAAAGGGAAAAAGGCCATTCTTTAACATGGGGTGAGACAATCTTACTAATTTGCTAGAGAACCAGTTCGGATTTACACTACCGTTCAAAAGTTTGGGGTTCACTTAGAAATGTCCTTGTTTTCGAAAGAAAAGCATTTTTTTTGTCCATTAAAATAACATCAAATTGATCAGAAATACAGTGTAGACATTGTTAATGTTGTTAATGTCTATTGTAGCTGGAAACGGCTGATTTTTTTATGGAATATCTACATAGGTGTACAGAGGCCCATTATCAGCAACCATCAGTCCTGTGTTCCAATGGCATGTTGTGTTTGCTAATCCAAGTTGATCATTTTAAAAGGCTAATTGATCATTAGAAAACCATTTTGCAATTATGTTAGCACAGCTGAAAACTGTTGTGCTGATTTAAAGAAGCAATAAAACTGGCCTTCTTGAGACTAGTTGAGTATCTGGAGCATCAGCAATTGTGGGTTCGATTACAGGCTCAAAAAACTTTCTTCTGAAACTCGTCAGTCTATTCTTGTTCTGAGAAATGAAGGCTATTCCATGCGAGACATTGCCAAGAAACTGAAGACCTTGTACAACGCTGTGTACTACTCCCTTCAAAGAACAGCGCAAACTGGCTCTAACCAGAATAGAACGAGGAGTGGGAGGCCCCGGTGCACAACTGAGCAAGAGGACAAATACATTAGTGTGTCTAGTTTGAGAATCAGGCGCCTCACAGGTCCTCAACTGGCAGCTTCATTAAATAGTACCCGCAAAACACCAGTCTCAACGTCAATAGTGAAGAGGCGACTCCAGGATGCTGACCTTCTAGAAAGAGTTGCAAAGAAAAAGCCATATCTTAGACTGGCCAATAAAAATACAATATTAAGATGGGCAAAAGAACACAGACACTGGACAGAGGAAGATTGGAAAAAAGTTATGGACAAACAAATCGAAGTTTGAGGTGTTCAGATCACAAAGAAGAACATTTGTGAGACGCAGACCAAATGAAAAGATGCTGGAGGAGTGCTTGATGCCATCTGTCAAGCATGGTGGAGGCAATGTGATGGTCTGGGGGTGCTTTGGTGGTGGTAAAGTGGGAGATATGTACAGGGTAAAAGGGATCTTGAAGAAGGAAGGCTATCACTCCATTTTGCAACACCATGCCATACCCTGTGGACGGCGCTTGATTGGAACCAATTTCCTCCTACAACAGGACAATGACCCAAAGCACAGCTCCAAACTATGCAATAACTATTTAGGGAAGAAGCAGTCAGCTGGTATTCTGTCTATAATGGAGTGGCCAGCACAGTCCCCGGATCTCAACCCTATTGAGCTGTTGTGGGAGCAGCTTGACCGTTTGGTACGTAAGAAGTGCCCATCAAGCCAATCCAACTTGTGGGAGGTGCTTCAGGAATTATGGGGTGAAATCTCTTCAGATTACCTCAACAAATTGACAACTAGAATGCCAAAGGTCTGCAAGGCTGTAATTGCTGCAAATGGAGGATTCTTTGACGAAAGCAAAATTTGAAGGACCCAATTATTATTTCAATTAAAAATCATTATTTCTAACCTTGTCAATGACTACGTTCCCTATGCATTTTGCTATATTTCCTATTCAAACTAATTTCATGTATGTTTTCATGGAAAACAAGGCCATTTCTAAGTGACCCCAAACTTTTGAACGGTAGTAAGTATGTATGTATGTATGTATGTATGTATGTACAGTGAGGGGAAAAAGTATTTCATCCCCTGCTGAATTTGTACGTTTGCCCACTGACAAAGAAATGATCAGTCTATAATTTTAATGGTAGGTTTATTTGAACAGTGAGAGACAGAATAACAACAAAAAAAATCCAGAAAAACGCATGTCTAAAATGTTATAAATTGATTTGCATTTTAAATGAGGGAAATAAGTATTTGACCCCCTCTCAATCAGAAAGATTTCTGGCTCCCAGGTGTCTTTTATACAGGTAACGAGCTGAGATTAGGAGCACACTCTTAAAGGGAGTGCTCCTAATCTCAGTTTGTTACCTGTATAAAAGACACCTGTCCACAGAAGCAATCAATCAATCAGATTCCAAACTCTCCACCATGGCCAAGACCAAAGAGCTCTCCAAGGATGTCAGGGACAAGATTGTAGACCTACACAAGGCTGGAATGGGCTACAAGACCATCGCCAAGCAGCTTGGTGAGAAGGTGACAACAGTTGGTGTGATTATTCGCAAATGGAAGAAACACAAAAGAACTGTCAATCTCCCTCGGCCTGGGGCTCCATGCAAGATCTCACCTCGTGGAGTTGCAATGATCATGAGAACGGTGAGGAATCACCCCAGAACTACATGGGAGGATCTTGTCAATGATCTCGTCAATGATCTCAAGGCAGCTGGGACCATAGTCACCAAGAAAACAATTGGTAACACACTACGCTGTGAAGGACTGAAATCCTGCAGCGTCCGCAAGGTCCCCCTGCTCAAGAAAGCACATATACAGGCCCGTCTGAAGTTTGCCAATGAACATCTGAATGATTCAGAGGAGAACTGGGTGAAAATGTTGTGGTCAGATGAGACCAAAATCGAGCTCTTTGGCATCAACTCAACTCGCCGTGTTTGGAGGAGGAGGAATGCTGCCTATGACCCCAAGAACACCATCCCCACCGTCAAACATGGAGGTGGAAACATTATGCTTTGGG